GGGGGGGGGGGGGGGGGGGTGCACCCCTCCCTCGCTCTAACAAGCTGCGCATGTGCCAGGGAGGACTGTCGGTGCTGGCTGTGGCTCACTTGGTGCTTGGTGCTCCTATTGTAGCGTACGCGACACAAGACACCACACACACCCTGGAACCCGATGTTCAGAAGCTCTAATTTCTCCTCAAAACAGACAGAAATGCGGTGCCGCAAATCGTGGAGTTGGAAACGTCTCGTCGAGAGCTTTGACTGCTGCTGTTGTTACTCAGAGGTGTAGTTATTTATTTTTTTTGTCTTGGTTTCGTCTTATCGCCTCCATTTCTCAGGCCCTTCGTCCGCTCGAGGACGGCGGCGACGGCGGCGGCGGCGGCAAAGACACAAACACCGGCCGGAAAGAACGATCAACGGGGCCGCATCTCTTCTCCTCCTCTTTCTCCGAAGTCTCTCCTTCTTCGAAGAGGGTTCCGGCGGCGGGGGCAGGGGCGACGGGGATTCGCATCGGCACCGCCGGCTTGTCGCCGTCGTCGTCGTCCTCGTCAGTGCAGCGGCAAGAGAGGGACCGGCAACGGTATCGGAGGGATGGTGAGGAGATGCTGAGGAACCAAGAATGCTCGTCGCCGACACGGGTACACCTACGACGAACAGGTACGTACGAAAAAGAGAATGTTTTGCTTGTCATCTATTCCAAGGGCAAAGATGTACCGTAGGCAGAAGTGACCCAACTGCTCGAATAAGAAAAAAAACATCGCACAAAAAACTACGACCGACAATTCAGGCAGTATCGAGATCGAGCGCGGGGGCCGGGTCGAGACAACGCCGTCTTGTTCCTCGCCCTTGCACCTGTTTACGTCTCGCGAGCTGCTTGGAGAAAGAGAGAGAAGGAGTCAAGACAACCCCCGCAACGACGGGGGCGGTGGCAGCGGCGGTAGCCTAGCCACCGCCGCTGCAGCCGCCGCCACCGCCACCGTTACCTCCGCCTCCGTTGACGCGCGGTGGGCGGAGAGAAGCAGGCGGCCACGGGGAGGAGTAGCGGCGGATGGAGCGGGGTTTGCACCAGACAGCGATCGCGACGGACGACGGCGACCGCAGGCTACGCGAGAGGAAGGCGGCGGCGGCGGCGGCGGCGGCGGCGGCAGAATATCGTGGTCCTCGTCGTCGTTGTTGGGGGGGGGCGCGGGCGCGCGCGGTGGTGCCGGTGACGAAGCCCTAAGGTTTACGGGGCAAGCGAACAACAGCAGTAACAGGTGGAGGACGGAGGCAGACGCCGACCTGTCTGACATCAAGGCCACCATGAGGCGGATTGACGGTGGGTTAGGTTGGTTGAGTTCCTGGTCTGATAAGAGCTGTATTATCTTGTTGTTGCTATTGTTGCTCCGCTGGTGGTGCTGGCGGATGTTCCTACATCCTTCTTGGGCGACACGAGGTGAAGTTATGTTTGCCGGTGTTGCCGAGAGTACACACGTGGCACCGTGATGTGTTTTTTTATCGCGCGTTTTTCTGTCGTTCGTCAAAAGCCAAACCTGGTTAAGTATACCTGCACGCCGTGCGGCCATGTATATATGACTGATGCACGTGCTGCTGCTGCTGCTGCCGCGCGCCTGATTAATCCGGAAAACGGTTGCCTCGGCAGTTGGTAGAGAACAAGCAGGGCCAAAGCCCCTCCCCCCCCCCCCCCC